TTTTTTTTTTTTTTTTTTTAATTTTTAACTTTATTTTAGAGAGAGAGAGCACAAGTCTGGGAGAGGGTCAGAGAGAGAATCTTAAGCATGCTCTACATTGAGCATGGAGCTTGATCTCATGACCCAAGGATCATGACCTGAGCTGAAATCAGGAGTTGGACACCCAACCGACAGAGCCACCCAGGCGCCCCAAAGCCCATTGTCTTTTTAATGTGAACAATATGTATAATGAATTGGGTGCTCCATTCATATAATGAATGGTCTTGCTAGCATTAACATTAAGAATAAAATACAGATTAATAAGGCTCCTTAATAACCATATACCAATAACTGATCTCTAACAGATCATCTATACTCATCATTTAAAAGAGTAGTGATTTATGGCAGAAGGTAGCTTTCAGAACTCTAAAAAGTAACCTAGTCCTGTAGGATATGGCTGCATGTACTCTTGTCTTGCATTTCCCATAGCTCCACATACAGGTTTTTTTTAAACATAGTTTTGACACTTCTACCAAATAGCATCATTATCCTGAATTTTCCCTTCTAGTGGAAAAAGTAGAAGCGAGTATATGCTTCATAATAGACCTTCATTGATACCCACTATGTGTAAAGCACTGTGCAAACAGTCATGAAGTCGTACAGTGATGTGTCCTTCATTTTATTAAGAGTTGGAAGTCTTATTAACTTTTATTAATAATTTTAAAATATATACATAATTCATGTTTCTAGATGTTTTGGATGGTAAACAACTGTTTGGCTTTATCTAAAAGAAAGAATTGCCCCAAATGGAGTGATATGTGCAGTGTAGGAAAATTGCCCTCGATGTTTTATTTCTTGAAGGGGATAGTGGTTAAATGGTCATTCATTTTATAATACTTTGTTAAACTATTCATATATACATATGGATAGTTTATATTTTATATAGTAAATATAATATATAATATAATATAATATAACGTAACTTATGATGAAAAAGGAATGGGGGGAGAAGATTTTTCCAACCTGAAAATATCTCCGAGAGCACTGCCTGAAATTCCATTCTGATCAATTAAGTATTTTAGTTAATATTTGGCTTCCCCTTTTCCTCTTTAAAATGGAGCTGTTGGGGCGCCTGGGTTGCTCAGTTGGTTAAGCATCTGACTCTTGATCAGCTCAGGTCATGATTTTACGTTCATGAATTTGCGCACCCCACAATACCCCGAGTCAGGCTCTGCGCTGAGAGCAGAGAGCCTGCATGGAATTCCCTCTCTCTCTGCCCCTCACCTTCTGGCATATGTGCATGCTCACTCGCTCTCTCTCTCTTTCCATAAACATTAAAAAGTTTTTTAATGGAATAGAACAATTGCATGGCCAGTAATACATAGAATACATAGAACACTAGCCTTTTAGTGTGATGGGTTTGTCAGCTCACCTCTTCTCTGTAGCCCAAGCATCTGAGCTAATATAGATGGGATGATTCTGAAAGGTGATATGACAAGGGGAGGAGAAGCTTGGGAAAGAAAGACAGTAGTGCACGTCAACAACAAGAACCTCAATAAGATCTAATCTATCTTTCTCACCTTTGCAGATTTTAGTAACGAACACAACCTAGCTTTACTGAATTGCCTAGCTTTCTTCTCAAATGGTAGTATGACAACATATTACTAAATTGATCTAATTAATTAAAATACAGTGTTCTAAAAGTTTAATTATTATTTTTAAGTGCACCTTTAGCAACATAAAGAAAGCTAATAATTCTTGCTGAATCAGGGCTTTTTAAAGAATGCTACATCCACAAATAGAAAAGAGAAATTTATAGTTAGCATATGAATGTCTTATGGGGAGATCCTTCAGAAGTGCTCCAAGTAGGTTAGTGCTTATAAGCAGCATTAGCCTATAGTCTGTAAGTAGCCTGTAGTGTTTTCCTCATGAGGCTTTGAGCCTCAGGCTTGTCCAGCTCACATAGTTATAGAGAAAGGGAACGCATATATACAGGTTTTTAGTTAGTAGTCAGTCCACTGTTTCTGAATATAAAAGGAACCATGATTAAATTGTATTACTGCTAATGCCTTATTTATTTATGCTGTGTATATGAGAGTCATATGACTGTTAGTAAAATAGTCTTGACAGTCACAAAATTTATTTTGAAGAAGCCTTGCTAAACGGTTTCTGAATGTCTGAGAGACAGCATGTTATGTGATCTTTTTTTCCCTGAAATTCTTTTGGAAAAACATCCATGTTGTGTTTCATCCCCAAAATTACTTGGATAGTGTAGATAACCAGATATTGGTTTGTTAATAAAGTATATACACATACATAGTTTGAAATTTAGCTATTTGAAAGTATTTCTGGATTTGTCTACCTGTTTATTAATTTTTCAGAAGATTCAGGTAGGGGCATCCACGTAGCTCAGTCAGTTAAGCATCTGACTTCAGCTCAGGTCATGATCTAGCATTTTGTGAGTTTGAGCCCCACGTTGGGGCTTGCTGCTGTCAGAACAGAGGCTGCTTTGGATGCTCTGTTTCTCCCTCTCTGTCCCTCCCCTGCCCACAAGTGCGCTTCCCCCGGCCCCCAAAATAAATAAACATTAGAAAAAAAAGATTCAAATAGAAACGGGAACAACGTGATAAGCACCTTCACTCGCCTGAGGTGATTGGTTTTTAGACTAAGAAAAAACTAGTCAGTCTAAAGAGAGGAGAAGTAGAACAAACCGGAGCTTATTCTTAGGCTAGTCACCCAGGACTTTGTTTAACATGATGTTCACCTTTACTTAGTGCCGCTTCCACTCGTGTATTGACACTGGGTATTGGACTCTCTGCTGTGTTCTCTCTCCCCTTCCCCCCCGCCCCGCCGCCCCGCGCCCCAGCCTAGGATACAGCCCTAGGTACATGAAGGTCCCTTCATTTATGTTACAAATTAGGAATACCCACTGAAAACAGGACCACACTTTTTAAAAGTTTATTAGGAACAATTAAAATACCAATGTTGGTGCACACCTACTGTCTAGAGCACAAATGAACCAATCTCTCTTGCCACTGCCCCAGGGCCACACCACATGGAGTTCACATTTGAGAAGCAGCTCCATCTCAAATCTGTGCCTGCAACTCAGGGAGTCTGCCCTTGAGATTTTTATTAATGGTCATGGCAAAATAGACCATGAGCAGCCGCTGCCGATGTCTGATCGTACATGGGGTGATTCAGGGGAATCACCTGGTTTTGTCCCATTTGTCATACCTGGTGAAATTTTCTGTAGGCTCCAAACTTACTTTCTAATGCGTGGATTCTGAATGTTGCTCCAACAGGAACGTACTTTTAGTGCTTTTAATATATATCTTCAGTCTTACCTTTCCATTTCAGAATTCCAAAATAGGAACAAAATTCAGATATTGAATCCATGTCAGATTCTTTATGATAGTTCTTAGAGCTCTTAGTTGAAACCACTGTTTCCTCTGTCCAAGGTTTATTCATTAATGTTTATTTTTCCTGATGAGTAGTCAGACGTGCCTCCAACTGCTCTAAAGAGTCTGTCTCTCCCAGTGGACCCTTCTTGAACTGTTTGAGGGTGGGTGCAGGTGGCACATGGAAACCACATGGTGGTTTAGGGCTAATGTCTGGCACTAGACTGCTGAGCTTCAAAGCTGGTCCCGCCATTCATGAGCTGTGGGACCGTGGGAATGGCCTGTTTTTCTTATCTTTAAAAATGGGGATAACATTAACCTTTTAGGATTATTTTGAAGATTATATGAGTAAATAGACATGAAGTGCTTGGGGTAGCACTTGATACATAGGACTCAATAAATATTAGCTCTTAATAAGCATTATATCCTCACTTCTTGACTCAAAAACTATCCGTGGTTAGGGGTGATTACTCTTAGGATCAAAGAACTTGAGCTCTGGACATACTTCTGCAAGATGCTGCTCTGAAGAAGACATATCTGCATGTCACCTAGAGCTAATTGAACAAGGACTTTGGCGGTCCCCTTGCTGCTTTCTCTTGCACTTCCCAGAGTGAAGTGCATGCCCTTGAAAAGAGTCATCATCACTGCCCATGTGGCACAACCCCTGCAGACCATCAGCCTCTGTTCAGAGAATGGGATCGAGACTTCCTGCATGGCCCGAGACACTTCACTTAACCTTTATTTGGATCATGAATTCCAACACTGTGTCTGCTGGGGGCTCCCTCTGCTGGTACATCTAGCCTGTGTGCAAATATGTGGAATAGTAGCTTTTAAACAGTCAGCTTAAGACTTTTAGGGATGTTTGCATTAAAAAAGACCTTTGAAAACTTTTTTTTTCCACGTGAGTGATAGAAATCACATCGATATTACTCTTTTTTGCCATTTGCATTATAAGTTGGAATATTTTTGGTTTGATTTAGAATGGGGACTGTCATGGCATGCCAAAAAACAGTAATTTTTTTTCACAACGTAGTTATCAGGGACTGGTTAGTAGGTCTTATATACCAGTATATAGTACTAAATATCTTAGGGGCGCCTGGGTGGCTCAGTCAGTTGGGTGTCTGACTTTGGCTCAGGTCATGATCTCACAGTTCATGGGTTTGAGCCCCACGTTGGGCTCTGTGCTGATAGCTAGCTCAGAGCCTGCAGCCTGTTTCGGATTCTGTATCTCCCTCCTCTGCTCATGCTCTCTCTCCCTATCAGAAATAAATAAAACACACACAAAAAAACACCTAAATATCTTAGAATCCTATTTTAGCAGTCTAAAGAATATTCATCAAGTGAGGACTTAGTTAACTCTTAAAGTTTCAAAATGGCCCATTTATGGTGGTATCATGTCCTAGACCCTCTTGAACAATGTTATGTATTGAGGGCTTAGTACATGTCAGAAAATAGTACCTCAGATTTATTGGGTGATACATTATTTATTTAGAATTATAATTTATCAGTAAAATGCTCATGATGTACCTGAAGTTGGATTTTAAAATAACTTTTTGTCGCTTTTGTGTTTTTCTCACCACTGTCTCTTTTCTTCCATCTTTCCTCACCCCTCTTTGCTACTAGGATCAAACAGCATAAGTCGAGTAACAGCAAACATGGAAAATGGAGAAAATGAAGGAACAACTAAAATTACTGCACCTTCACCAATAAAAAGGTCAGTTTACCAAAAGAACGTATTACTGTGTGCTGTCACAAAAACACTTTTTCCTGTTGGCAAGGTTAAGAATCTTTTTACTTTAACAGTTGATACTTTTGATCAAAATGGTCTGTGAGCCAAAGTGTACTTGAAAAATGCCAGTAGAATAGAAACATCAGGACCTGCCTCTCTCACATGAAGGAAATGTTCCTGCTGGCATGGTGAACTCACTATCTATGGTCTGCATTCTCTGCTGCCCAGGGAAAATTCCATGTGCTTTTTAAAATAGCATGATATAATGGACTTACTCAGAGGGACCTGTGAAATAAAGTAGACGATATTCATGTTTAATGTGCTGTGTTCATTACCGTGGTGCGCTGAGCTGTGGCCCTGGAAAGAGGGTTTATAGCATTTAGAGGCACAGGGCTTCAGAAGTCAGTGATTGCATATGTATGAAGAGTTGTCATGGTCCTCTGCATCAATTTTCCCAGCAGCAATCCCCAGCAGAAAGACTTTCTCTCAATATATTACATGGATTGTTTCCATGAAAGATCAGCCTGTTCTCTGTTAAGACGCTGTTTCAGCGTCAGTTTTTCCTATCTCCAATTATGTTCATGGACCAGCATTTGAGAAATACAATGAGTGGCTTTCATCAGCTCACTTTGTCTATAGAGATAGCTTCCTACATCATGGAGAAGTCCAAGCAGTCATAAATACGTGACCTTAACAGGCTTCTTTGATCATCTCCTCCATTTTTTGTTAGTAAATAATGGTGTCTTCATTCAGCTAGATTGTGGCTACGTGGAGGAATACAGTTTATAATTTCCTAGAGAAATAACTCTAAGATATGAGGATTCTCAGAGTTATGGTGTTTTCCCCAGGGTTTTGCTTACAGTTTCTTTTGTTTAGTTCCAGGATACTCCCTTTATACATTCTTTTTGGAATGACAGGTTCTTTGCCTTTGCATAGAGTAGAGTTGACCGTGTTTGCCTAGTCAGCCTCATAGCTGTGACTAAAGCGTCCACTTAATCTATATGTACAAGGTATGCTTATGGCAGGTCCAACATAAGAACAGTAATCTGGCATGAAATTCAGATCCCAAGCCTTTTTAGAATGTACAGAAGGAGCTCAGTCCCCTTTACAACTACATTCTTGCCGTTAGGACTGATACCTGAAGGGCTGCCAGATTTTCCCACTCAGGCTTCAGACAAGAAGTGGCTTATGGAGTGAATGCAATTAATTAGCCACCCAGGATTTCATTATTCTATAACTTTCGCCTGCAAGCCCATTTCCCCTTTCATCTCCCAACTGAATTTCTCAATCTCCCTTTGCTCTTTTTGCTTTTTCTTTCTGATTGACTAAACACACACACTTTCTACTGTTGTGTTACGTGTCTGCCATAGTTATTACTTCTCCTCATTTGAAAAGTAAGATTTTACCTTGGGCATTTGATCTTCAAAAGATGATTTAATTTTGATCAAAATAATATATTGGTCAAAAATAAAACCTACATACTATATGCTAATGCAATGAGTTAAATACCTTGTCAAATCTATAATTTTTTAGGCCTTTTTTAAAAAGTTTATTTATTTTCAGAGAGAGGGGGAGGGAGTGTGCACATGAGTTGAGGGGGGGGGGGCCCAGAGAGAGAGAGAGCACAATCAGGGGAGGAGCAGACAGGGAGAGAGAATCCTAAGCAAATCCACAATGTTAGTGCAGAGCTGGTTGCAGGGCTCGAACTCTTGAACCATGAAATCATGACCTGAGCCGAAATCAAGAGTCAGAAACTTGACTGATCTACCCAGGTGCCCCAGGCTTATATGAATTCTCTGTGGGTATAGTATGCTAGGATACAAGTTTAATTTCCTTTTTTGAAATGACTTTGTCATTTGTTGCTTTCTCTTCTTTGTTGGCTCTTACAAAAAACCCTGCTGTGACTGTATTCAAAGACACTTATATAGAGGATTCCTCAAAAAGCCAGGGTTAAATGTGAATTGGGAGTTAAGCAGCTCTATCTTTTTCTGAGGCTGATATTCCTGGGAAGTGAGAGGTAATACTCTCCCTCCCCCACTGGTGGCCCAAGGCTTTTCTCTCTGTCTGCCCATGTGTGTCTAAAACAGTTTGTTTGGATTGAATAACAACTCAGTTATATTTACATTCTTAGGGCAGAAAGATGATACTAGGTCAGGAAACAGCATTTATAAGTCATTCTGGTTTGGAAGGAAGAAGCCAAGATATGTTGGAAGCTGGGGACTGGGAAAGGTCAATTTGGGTAGCCTGAGCCTGTCCAGAGCTGATCCACCTGCACAGATTTAGACCCAAGTCCAGAGCTGAAAAGAGGGAGTAAGCCCCATGAGCCCCAATACCCCAGTTTTCCTTCGTTTTGAGCTTTATTCTTTTCTTGCCTTAACACTTGCCCTAGCTTCCTGTCCTTCAGGTAGACTCTCTTCAAAGTTTCGTAACAGTGTATGACCTGGATTTTGTTGACTTAAAACAGTAATACTAGAAAAAAAGGTGGAAGGGAGACCCAAAAGTACTTGCTAGAGACATGAAATTTTTTTAGGCTGCCACTTCATATTCTTTTTGAAAAAAAAATTTTTAGTGTTGTTTATTTTTGAAAGAGAGAGAGAGAGAGGGAGGGAGGGAACAAGCACAAGCCGGGAGGGCAGAGAGGCAGAGAGAGAGACACAGAATCTGAGGCAGGCTCCAGTCTCTGGGTTTTCAGCACAGAGCCTGATTCAGGGCTTGAACTCCTGAACGACGAGATCATGACCTGACCCAAATTTGGTTGCTTAACTGACTGAGCCACCCAGGCACCCCATTTTTGGAATGAGTCACGAGTATAAATAAAAACATTATAGGGGTGCCTGGGTGGCTCAGTTGGTTAAGCGTCCAATGTCAGCTCAGGTCATGATCTCGTGGTTTGTGGGTTCCAGCCCCGCATCTGGCTTTGTGCTGACAGCTCAAAGCCTGGACCCTGCTACAGATTCTGTGTATCCCTCTCTCTCTATCCTTCCCTCACTTGCACGCTGTCTCTTTTAGTCTCTCTCCCTCAAAAATAAACATTTAAAAATTTTAAGAGACCACATTTTAAAACATTTGGTAAACAATTTCACTGAAGAAATATGATTCCCATTTATTCTCTAGTTAATTTATTTTCCTTTTTTTTTTTTTTTTTAAATTAAAGCTTTAAGAAAGCAAAGAATGAGAACAGCCCTGACACCCAAAGAAATAAATCTCATGCACCATGGGAAGAAAATGGCCCCCAGAGGTAAAGAGAATCATTGTTTTTCTAAAGGAGAAGAGTGGAAGCGGGATTAGCAATTGCAGCTCATTAAATAAGGGAATCCAACTGCTTTGTGGTTGGGTATTACTAGCTGTGGACGAGGTAGTCAGATTCGTAAATCAGCATGACCAATAACTTCCAAAGTAGAAATCAACAGGATGTATTCTAATGTGAAACTTTCTTCAGGAAAGATAGGAGGGAAAGCAGTATGTATTAAGAAGATGCTTAAAAGATTGTTATGATGGTTTAGAATAAGAGAATGTATTTCTGAACTCCAAATGATATATTAATGATAATTCCCCCTCTTTCATTTGTATTTTACTGTATTTTATTTTATTTTTTATTTTATTTTATTTTATTTTATTTTTATTTTATTTATTTTGAGAGCACATGTGAGAGTAGGGGAGGAGCAAAGAGAGCAAGAGAGCAAGAGCAAGAGCGAGAGAGAGAAAATCCCAGGCAGGCCCTTTGCTGTCAGTGTGCTGTTAGCCCAGAAGCCAACTTGGGGCTAGAACCCAAGAATCCTGAGATCATTACCTCATCCGAAATCAAGATTCTGATGCATAACCAACTGAGCCACCCAGGTGCCCCAAATAACCCCTACTTTATAGTTCTTATAAAAACTTTAATTGAAAACTATTTGAGGAGTAATGATTCTAGAAGGACTTTATTCATTAAAATATCCATATATTAGTTTCTTTCTACTCACAACTACTAAACCAGCAGCAGACCTTCATTATAACTTAATGGCTTTATAGTCATGGTGATTCCAAATATGATGACCCAGGGGTTCACATTCTAACTCTGCCATTTCCTAGCTACTTTACTTGAGCCACTCAATTAAAAATTCCATATTTCCATTTTCTTTTCTATTAAATAGGCCTAATAATTGTACCTCAGTGCCTAGGGTTGTTAAGAAGATTAGTTAGGATAATAAATATAAAACTTTTAGCTCAGTCAGCACCTGGCATATTTTAGTTTGTCATTAATGCAAATTGTTATTATTCCCATCATTTGTTCACTCTTAGCTATCAAAGACCAGTGGAACAAATCCATTCCTACATGATCATGCTTTATGGTTTGACTTGCCAGATATTATCTCTCTCTTTTTTTTTTTTTTTAATTTTTTATCTGTTTTTTATCTGTTTATTTTTAAATGTTTATTTATTTTGAGAGAGAAAGTGTGAGAGAGAGAGAGAGAGAGAGCAGGGGAGAGGCAGAGAGAGAGGGAGAGAGAGAATCCCGAGCAGGCTCTGTTCTGTCAGCAGATAGCCTGAGGGGGGCTCGAACTCATGGCTGTAAGATCATGACCTGAGCCAAAGTCAGAACTTCACTGACTGAGCCACCCAGGTGGCTCACCTCTCTTTTCTTTGAATAAGTCTTGTCAGCAAAGAGAGCTGGGGGCTCATGATCCATTATTCCCCTAGAGTATGAATAATGGTGTCGATCTGGGCTGGGGTGTGTGCTTCTCCAAGCCTTCTTGGAGCACTGTTGACCATTCCTCTCCCACTCCAGTGGACTCTACAACTCTCCCGGTGACCGCACGAAGTCCCCCAAGTTCCCCTCCACACGCCGCCGAAACCCCTCATGTGGAAGCGATGATTCTGTACAGCCAACGAGGAGGAGGTGAGCTGAACATAGCCCCTCAGTTTTAGTTTTCAACAGAAACTCTGGGTCCCAGTTACATTTTTACCACGTTATTCTCATAATATGATGGTCTCCCTGGGACAACAGAAAATTTATGTTTTATTGAGATAAAATAAGCTAGGGATCCTGAAACATTTCTCTTTAAACAGCCAGAGTTTCAGAGAATAAGTTCATAAAGTCCTGATAAGAGCCTGATACAGAATCGCATTTCTGTATTGCGATTAAGACTGGTGAGTTAAAAAATATATGTTATGTAAATATTTTAACAACATATATGGTATGTATAAATATGTAATATATATAATACATACTAATGATACATTTTTATACATAAAAGATGCTAAATGCTCTCGCCTGGGAGGACACAATTACATTTATTGGTAAATCTTAGCTGAGGCTTAGTGCTCTGTTCTCCAGGCTGATGTTGTTGCATAAATTTGAATGAAGCCCCTTTCAAAACACAGAGAAAATGAATCCTGTTACATTTTACCCAGCAGGTCTGGTTGTTTTGGTGATTACATTTGTGTGTACTTAATTTAAAAAAAGAAAGTCCATATCTGAAAGTTTTGGACTCTCAGAAAAGCAGGCTGGGCAATGTATCAGGTCTGAGAGAAGACCCAGAAATGACTAACCAGTGAAATTCACTCCATTCCTACACCACAGAGACTGTTTTTCACGTTGAGTGCCTGCATACTGGTATTTTATAGGTGACTTTTATGGGAAGTTCAGATCATGTTCTCAGGTAACCATCATGATCACCGTGGATCTGGAAAACAGAAGTCCTTCTTTCTTCTGTGCCCTTGTTAATACTTGCTGGTCCCTCTCTGTTTGATTTCCTTCCTCTTCTGTCTGTTTCCCAGAGTCTTGTTCCCCAGCTTTCTCAAACCAGGTCCAGCTTCACTGAAATCTTTAGATGGTTAAGGAGACAAGGTCAACAACACTTTCACTTACTAGGTAGGAAAGGCAGAGCTAAATTGTGACCACCAGTGACTAGACAGAATAAAGGAATAATAGTTGACATTTATGATGTTCCAAGTACTGAGCAAAATTGCTTACTACTTATTATCCGATCCTTATAATAACCCTATAGATCGGGCATATGTATTACTCAGGCACTAGGCATTTCTAGCAGAGAGGGATTAATGTGGGGAATTGCACACAAGTATGAGTAGCATTGAAGGAACAAAGGCAGGGAGGGTGCACCCCTGAGATCTGGGTGCTGTTACTGCCCCTGGGCTGACAGCATGAAAGGAGAGTGGGGGTATTACTTGGAGATCAAAAGCAGTTTCCACCTTTGAGCTGGCCTTTGTGAATCCCAGTGCTGCTGACACTGCCGTGGGCACCACCACTGTAGCAACTGCTGTTGCTGTCCCTGCTGGAGGCACCACCGCTGTAGCTAACACCGTGGGGCTCCGGCTGCGCAGAGTGCAAGGTGAATGCACACGGGTGTCAGGAGCACACCTGCCTTCATCTCACCTGGGCGCCTCTCTAAGTGGAACCCAGCTGGCAAAGGAGTCTGGGAAAATGTAATTTTCAGGCTTCTAGTCTTGACAAAATGGGAGATTATTAATGGGGTGGGGTGGGGCTGAGTACCAGTGGAAAATACCTGGCCTAGAGGAGAAAACAGAGGCTATGGGCAGATAAGGTAACTGTCCTTTGTGACACACTTGGGTTTGGATCCAGATCTGTGCCTCTGAAAAAGGCAGGGATGTTAATCATTATTTAAATAAAGCAGGAGGAAAGATTCCCCTATTAAGGATCAGTTCAACATGGACAACATTGAAAACCAAGGCAATTCCACTGGGAAATACTTCCGAGCGTCTGTGCATATTGAGAGGGTGTCGGTAGTAGGAATCACTAAATATATTAAGAATTTGGCACTGCATGATTATTGTTAAATAGACAGCTTTTTATAGTTTTTCATCCTTAATTACTAGTGTACTCTGACGGCATTCCCTATATGGAATAATTGAACATGTTGAGCAGATGGTCATTTTGATTTTAATATACTTGGAAATGAATTTATCAAGTTTTGCTAAAGTATACCAAAATTTACATTATTTTTTCCCCCAAACTAATTGCTTGAAATAGTTTGGAGTATTTGCATTCTGAAATCTAGACTTAATGACTTCTATAGAGAGATACTTTTTTTGTTGCTTCCTGTGAAGTACAGATAAGTAATTGTGGTGAGTGGCTTCAGGGTCCTTTCTCTGACACAGTCCAGGGGAAAGGCTATTTTGATTTATAGGGAAGAGAATCTTGTTGTCCCAGAGGCCGTGGAGACTTCTGTCCAGTTATGTGTATCACTCGAAAGGTCTTTTACTGGACATATGTGTTTTGAGACTAGCCATTGCTACGTGTTGGCAAAGAAGAGCTAAAGCTCATTCTTTGTTTCGTTCCACTGTGAATGCCCTCTGAATGTCCCTGTCCTTGTCAGTCTTTTTTTATCTTCACAGATACTTACCTTGCCCCTGGGCAGAAATCCTTACATAGCTAGAATAACTCTGACATTTAAAATTGAGATTTGTGAAAAGCATAGAAGAATCTCAAGGACTTAAAATTAATAATGGGATTCTATTATTCTGTTTTGTAATGGATTCCAGGATAACATGTTTTGCAAAAGATAGCAAAATTTTATATTTTGCCAGTTGTTTGTCATTAGATGAGTACATCTGTCAAATTCTGGCTGAGGTTAGAATACTGATCCTTAACCTTCTTGGGTGACAGAACTCTGAGAATCTAATGAAATGTTGGATCATTCCTTGGGAAAATTGCATAATTAAATATACATACACACTTTCATGTAATTTTCTTGGTTCACGGAGACCCTGAAGCCTGCTTTAACTGTTCCTGTTCTAGTAAAAGAAAGCCAGCCTACTTTCTGACAGTACAGTTTTCACCCGTATGCATCTTTGCACTCAGAAATGTTTACTGAGTGCCTACTTTATGCAGGCACTGTGTTAAATATCACCAGAGAAAGTCCCTGCCCTTTGGGAGTTTACAGTTTGTTGAGGAAGAAATATGTGAATCATATAAATGCATGTGCACTGAGGACATTTATATATTCTTTTTTTTTTTAATGTTTTATTTATTTCTAGGAGAGAGAGAGACATACAGACAGACAGCGTGAGCAGGGGAGGGCCAGAGAGAGAGGGAGTCACAGACTGAAACATGCTCCGGGCTCTGAGCTGGCAGTCAGCACGAACTGCCACGAACCGCAAGATCATGACCTAAGCAAAAGTCGGACGCCCAACCGACCAAGCCACCCAGGCACCCCGACATTTATATATTCTTGAGGGAGAGTTATGTGGTGCTTAGGGAACTTTTAAAAAGTTTGTATTGAAACCTAACATGCATATGGAAAAGTACATGTGTCCCAAGAATAAGCACTTGATAACTTTTACCATCCAAATACTGTATAACCAAAACTATTAGGGGAAGTTTTGTTGAGTTACTGAGTTAAGGAGCCATGTAAAGGTGCCCAGAGGATGGATGCTTCAACCCGAATCTGAGACAAGAACAGGCAAAGAGAGGTGGAAGAGATGGCAAGCTCAGAAGCTTTGGAAGCCTCTGGGAAAGAGTGGAGAACATTTCATGAGAAGGAGAACAGGCTGCTAGTGTTGCTCAAGCATAGAGAGTGAAGAGAAACGTGTTAGAAATGAATCCAAAGAGAAACACCTTCTAGGACACCTGAGCCTTGTTGAGGATTTGGGTTGTTAGACCAGTAGGTTTTTGAAGGAGGTTATAACAAGATCACATCGGTATTGTGTGAAGATGAGCCTTCCTGTCCTATGGAGAAAAGGTAGAAGAGGCAGTAGTGGAAAGAGAGAGCCTGGCAGCAAGCCACTGTGCAAGCAAGCCCTGGTAAAGGCTGATGGGAGCTTGGGCCAAGGTGGTGATGGGAAGATTTAAGGAAGTGGGTGGCTTTGAGACCCATTGGGAGGTAAAATCAGTAGGGCTGGGAGGATCGATATGTGGGGCAAAGGAATGATAGATGTCATGAATGAAATTCAGACTTAAAGTGTGATGCACTGAACTAACAGCCACTGGGATATTACAGGCTTAAAAGGGACAACTGTGAGTTTAGTTTTTAATAATGTAGAATTTCTGATATTTTTGAGAAGTTCAAGTGAAGGATTCACATGGGTCATTGAGTAGAAGTTGAGATAGATTGATTGGCTATTGGCTAAAATATAATGTAAATTGAAATATAAAACAGAAACGAGGTTGTCTAGATAGATATTATGGATAGAATGCAAAGACCAAACCAATGATAGAGCTGAGGGAAACTCCAGCATTTATTTGGCTTAGTTGAAGAGAGTTACCTTCAAAGGAAATTACTTTCAGAGAAAAAAGAAAAATTATGGCCATAGGAAAAGTCAAAAGAGTGAAAATCTGCTTACTAAAAAGGTCCCTTCCCTCTTGATTCCCAGAATGCTAGATGCCAGATTTGTAACTCCCAAGCATTATACCAGAGACTCTCACTGTAAGAAAGACAGATACAAGAGAAAAGACCTACAGATACCAACTTTCAAAGGATCCTGCAGTGAAATGGTTGAGATTGCCCACATTACTTTGCTCTACCCTGCAGTGAAGCCATCAGCTAGCATGCTCTGCACTGTACAGAGGGTTCCAGTCTTTTTAGTGCCTAATTCTTAAATATGAGGAAGAAGCCATCATCACTTGGCATTTGAGGATTGCTTCTGTTTGGCAAGACAGAGAGACACAGTGAGGAGCCTTTGTATGTACTCACAGGAAATAGAGATGATTTAAGAAAGAAAAATGTCTTAGTATAATTAGCTTTAGAAAAAAGAAAATTTTGATATCAGAAGAAAAGAACAAGTGGGAATTCTTAGACTTCAAATTCCTTTATGATAATCAATAGAAGGTTTGGCAGGTAAAGTTAAGGAAATCATCCACAGAGAAGAACAAAAACAAAATAGATATGTGGAAATAAGGATAAAACTGATCAACTTTGGATATCAAATATTTAACTAATGAAATTTCTCAGGAAAAAAAAAAAGCCAGGTAAGGAAACTATTAAAAAAGTAATATAAGAAAGTATCCCACTGGACAGCAACATGCAGAAGAATGAAACTAGATCCCTTTCTCACACCATACACAAAAATAAACTCAAAATGGATAAAGGACCTGAATGTGAGACAGGAAACCATCAAAACCCTAAAGGAGAAAGCAGGAAACAACCTCCTTGACCTCAACCGTTGCAATTTCTTACTTGACATATCCCCAAAGGCAAGCGAATCAAGAGCAAAAATGAACTATTGGGACCTCATCAAGATAAAAATCTTCTGCAAGGCAAGGGAAACAATCCATAAAACTAATAGGCAACCGATGGAATGGGAAAAGATATTTGCAAATGACATATCAGATACAGGGCTAGTATCCAAAATCTATAAGGAACTCACCAAACTCCACACCCGAGAAACAAATAATCCAGTGAAGAAATGGGCAGAAGACATGAACAGACCCTTCTCCAAAAAGGACATCCAGATGGCCAAGACACATGTAACGATGCTCAGCGTCCCTCATCATCAGGGAAATGCAGATCAAAACCACACTGAGATATTACCTCACTCTGGTCAGAGTGGCTAAAATGAACAAATTGGGAGACTCTAGATGCTGGCGAGGATGTGGAGAAATGGGCACCCTCCTACACTGTCGGTAGGAGTAACTGGTGCAGCCCCTCTAGAAAACAGTATTGAGGTTCCTCAGAAATTAACAACAGAACTCCCCTATGACCCAGCAATAGCACTGCTAGGAATTTACCCAAGGGATTCAGGAGTGCTGATGCTTAGGGACACATGTACCCCAGTGTTCACAGCAGCACTCTCAACAATAGCCAAATCATGGAAAGAGCCTAAGTGTCCACCAACTGAAAAATGGATCATGAAGACGTGGTTTATCTATACAATGGAATACTACATGGCAATAAGAAAGAATGAAATCTGGCCATGTGTAGCAACGTGGATGGAACTTGAGGGTGTTATGCTGAGCGAAATAAGTCAGGCAGAGAAGGACAGATACCATTTGTTTGCACATATAGGTGGATTAAGAGAAACTTAACAGAGGACCATGGGGGAGGAGAAGGGGAAATATAGTTGGGGAGAGGGAGGGAGGCAAACCATGAGAGACTCTTGAATGCTGAGAACAAACTGAGGGCTGATGGGGGTGGGGGGAGGGGAAGGGGGGTGATGGGCATGGAGGAGGGCACTTGTGGGGATGAGCACTGGGTGTTATATGGAAACCAACTTGACAATAAACTATGAAGGAGAGGGAAAAAAGTATCCCAGACTGAATAATCAAACTTTATAAAGAGAAGCTACTGGGCATTTGGCATAATGGATTGGAAAATCAGATCCATTCCAAGATCCGTTAGCATTAAATTTTAAAACATTATAGGTTAAGAGAGATTTTTTAAACTTGAAAGGAGGGAGGATTATAAGAAAAAAACTTCATGCACAAATATTGACAAATCAGAATGGTGGCATTGGGCTCCTTAACAGCAACATCAAAGAAAGAAGATAAGCATTGCCTTCCAAATGCTGAGGGGATATTCTTTTAAATTTAGGATTCTAAGCCCAGATAACTACAATCACATAGTCAAATAAAGGTATTTTGAGAAATTCCAGGTCTCAAAAAAAAAAAAAATACCTGCCATGCAGACTTTCTTTGTTAACAACTGGAAGATATGTTCCTTCAAAAACAAGACAAGGAATCATGACAACTGGAAATATGGGATCCATTACAAAGAAGCAGAAAGAATTCCCTGGATCTTAGTGGAGAGAGTAATCAAAGTGATGTTTCTGCAGACCATCCGGATGTGAGCAGGAGGGCACAGGGGTCCCTGTGTGATGTCCTAAGACAGTCCTAAGTCCTGAGAGATGTCCTAAGTGTTCATTCAACTCAGGAAGAGTTTTGTAGCTCTCAGAGTTTAGGGGAAGAATTAGTGATAAGAATAAAGAAAACTAAGGAACTGATAGGTACATAGAAAACCAATTATTATCTCTTAAAAAATTATAAAACCTATACAAGAATGGAATTTTATTCCTTAAACACTGTATAGATCATCTGTGAACATATATAATTGCATTTATACTAAGTAAAAATTATTGAAAAATCTGGTGTAAGAACAGAGACCTCTCAATGTTATGTTGTTTGGTATACGTATGTTTGAGAATTGGGGAAATGTAAGTCATGATGAAAGCATGAGCTATGTCTGCCCATCAGAGTGTGAAGGCGCATGTAATAAAGGATTAAGGAATGGAGACAAGGAGCTTAGGGACCTCTCTCAAGAAGTTTGGTGCCTTGAAGGAGATAGGAGAGACTGGGAAAAAGATGAACAGGGATATGGAGTCAAGTAGATGTGTGTGTGTGTTTAAATAGTAGAAACTTGATAACGTGAAAAGCTGCTAAAAGAATTTTCCATAAGGAAAGTTGAATATATCCGAGGGGTAAGACAGTAGTTACTGAGAATCATTGAGAAGTTAAGAGGGGATAGGACCCACACAACACAGGTGAAGAGACTGACCTTAGTTGTGAGGACAGATCTGTAAATAACACAGAGGGAGATATAAGCAGGTTTTATTTTTGGCAACAGGAAGATGAAAGGGTTGCCATCTGATGGCTACTTTTGCCTTTAGAAGGAGAGAACAAAGTCAACTGCTGATGCAGAGGGAGCAGTGTATCAGAGGGTTGCAAGGTAAAAAGAGTTTGAAACTGCTTTGCAGAGAGTACTTAGATCACAGAAAGGCGGTAGGATGTTGTGGAGTTGGTAACATGGGTTTGTAGTGTAACTGATGTGCCCTTTTGTGTAACTCCCTGCAGCACTGCTCAGCCAGCTGTTGAAGGCTGGCTCAGAGGATCTGGATAGTTTGATTTACCCACGTGTGGGATCTTGCCCAAAAGCCTGAACCAAAACCAGAGAGTTGAAGGAAGTTTTGAGTACTGACATAGATGTTATCGAAATGATGGAAATCTCAGTCAAGTCAGGAAGGAAAGCCAAGAAGAGCTGATGGAAAGTAGCAAGGTCAATAAACAAAACAGTCCTGATGAGGTCAAAGAAAGATACAATGGAAGTATCTTCCATTGTGAATCAGGTCCTACTCTGTGCATTTTAAATGTATTAATTCATTTTATCCTCATAACAACTCTCATGGGAGGTTCCATTAAAACTGAGGCACTTAGTAGAGAAGTAAAAATCACACAACTGCTTGGTACAGGCGATGAGATTCACATTTAGGTTGTCCGGCTCCAGAGTGCATGTTTAACCAGGAGGCCCCATCAAAGCAGGGGTATAAACAGGAAGGGGAAAAGATTGTGGTCACAGACCAAAGTTTGGAGGTGGTTACAGATGGTAAAGTCCAAAGTGTGGCCATGATGTGGATTACTGAGTTACCGTGAAGAGATTATTGGAAAATGGTTAAGGGCCAGGGTGTTGACAAGGGCATACAAGTGAGAGCTGACGTCAGTCAGGTTATGGCAGAACTTGATTTGGCAGATGGCAGACCTAGGAACTGCAGACAACTCAGCACTGGATGAATGGAACTTAACAGACGTGTTGTGCATTGCTGTTTGTAGATGGTTTGCAACCTCTGTTAGGTTGCTGGCTTTTTGAAACCAGTCAGTGTTCAGTTCTACCTCAGAGACTGGACATATTGTGTGATTTAAATATTTGGTGAATGAAAGAATACAAAGCAGAGATGCATTAACTGAAGTGAAACTCATTTTGCTGTGCTTTCCTTAACCAATTGATCATGCTCTGTTTTCCTTAATATCTTCATTTATTTGTTTTCATAGGAAAGCCCATAACAGTGGTGAAGACTCAGATCTAAAGCAAAGGAGGAGGTAAAAAAATAAAAATGGAAGGAGGGTCAAGGAGAGGGAGGAAGAATTAGCACTACTCAGAGTTGAAGCAAGAATGGGGATGTTTTTTGTTGTTGTTACAATTTTATTAGTGACTGCTTTAAGGTTATTATTAAAAAATTGACTTTCAAATGTCAGTTTTGGCTTCAGTCGGTTCTCAGTCTTACTTCTCTAGCATTCTTGGCAATTTCTCCTTTTTTCTGCTCCATTGTATCTCAGAGGAACTGTTTTGGTTATCTATTGCCATATTAAAACTACCCCAAAACTTAGTGGCTTAAAGCAACAACCATATGTATGTTGTATGATTCTGCTGATGAACAGATTAGTGTCACATGAAGGTGCAGTCAGAGAGCAGCTGGAGCTGGAATATTCAAGAGGCCTTTCCCATGTATGGTGTTTTGGCAGAATAGTAGAAGGCCTGGGGCTTCTTTCTCTCTATGGCCTCTCTACCTGGCTTGTCTAGGCTTCTTTAGATGGTGGCCGGGAGGAAGCAGGAGCTACCAGCCCTGTTAAGAGATAGTCCTGAAGCTGGCAGAGCATCCCTTCCATGTCATTCTGTTGATAAAGTCAGTCAAGGACCAGTGCTAATTCAAGGGGAGGGGAAATAAACTCTACCTCTGTCAATGGGTGTCGATGTGACGGGACTTTGTATCTACCACAGGAATTTAGAGCTTTGCCATGTCACAGTTCTGTTGGAAGTGCTTGATTTTGTGGTCTTTTTTGGGAACCTGGTGACATTTGCCTTAACCTGCTTTCACATGTCTGTAGACTCATTCGAATATCTGACTGAACTGAGGAACACTGACTGAAGGAGGGATGATATAGCTCCTTATGTTTGGGCTTAATAATTTCACTGCAAAAGTCATTCCAAAGAACCAACATGAGCCTTCCTGAAATATTTTTGTCATAAATGTGGGTTTTTTTCTTTTGTTCTTCTCATTTCGTCTTCAGGTCACGCTCACGCTGTAACACGAGCAGTGGTAGTGAATCAGAAAATTCTAATAGAGAGCACCGGAAAAAGAGAAACAGGTAATATCGGAAACCATAGTTATCTGGAACTCCAAAATCAGAGGTGGCTGCCGGTGGTAGAAGCTGTGCATCCTCTACTTTTAAGCCTGATTTTCTCCTCTGTGTGTAAGAAGGAAACTGGCACTGTTTTGAAGCACTATGTTAGGAAACTTCAGCTCTTTGAACTGAGTGTCTGATCTTTATAATAAGATTATTAAATAACTTGGCAATCAGTGTCTCTTATTAATTAAAAAATATGATTTATATTTATGTGCAGTGTGTAGTGAGTTTGTTTAAAGATGGTAAGAAATTTTGCCATTTTTAGAGGGATTTCTCCCTGAAGTATCTTTTAACATGATATCACTGTATTTTGCCAGCCAAAACAGACTCATTATTTCATAGATCTAATGGTTTCAGCCTCATCTATGGCGTGAAAATATGCATTGATATTCATGTAGGGCACATATAATTAGATGGATAAATGTATTTAGTTCATATCTTTTAAAGACTCATTCTTAAGAGCTTGTTAATAATATCATTTGACATGCACTCAGTATTAGCGATAGCTTAATGCCTTAATCAGTTTTCCGTAGTCCCAAAATACTTATTGAAAACAAGTGTTCATATAGTGAAAGGGCACCATACGGGGAGTGGGAGGGATTTGGTTGCTGGTTGTCTCAGCTTCTCACCCGGTGGTTTCCAACCAGGGGCATCCTCGTCCTGCCCTTCTACTCTCTGAGGGTATTCCGCAATGTTTTGAAACACTTTTGGTTGTCACAGTTGGGTGGCCCCCCCACCTTGATCTTGGCCAGGGGTGCTCCTAAATATCCTGCAATGCACAGGTCACAGCCCTCTTCCCCCCAAAAAGTATCTGGTTCAAAAAAATGTCAGTAGTGCCACCTCTTGGAAACTCGTTTCCACCTCGTGTGGAGCTTTGGCCTGGTTGCTTTACTTTTCTGGGTCGTCCTTTTCCCTTGTGTAAAGTGAGGAAGTCAGGTGAGATAATCTCCAAGGTCCTTCTTTCGTACTTGGAGCCCTCGTGCTTGGCACACACTGAATTGCCCTGCCTACCTCTAAAGCCCGTGTCATAATAGCCCAGACAGCATTGTAAGAGCGGATCATTTCCTTCGGAAAGTTTTCTCTGTGGAGCCTTCTTGGGCTGGAGTCACACTAGATAGAGGTGAGATCTCAGTGTGTTATGACACCATTCTCAAGGAAATGATTACAGTTTCTACGTCTGTAAAAACCCAAGTGTGGAGGGTCCCTTTCCCTTAGGTAACTTCTTCCTACTCTGAAATTCAGTATCTGCATAAACAACACAAAACATAGCAAAAAAACAGATTTTCCTCCTGTTTGTACTTACTGATCAAGCCAGTATCTTAACAGATTTATTTGTTTTGCTTGTTATATTCTAAGTTGTGCTCATAGGTGCTCTGGTCTCAACTTCTCAGAAGGTGGCCTGTTGAAAAACATGGTCTCTTGGGGATGCCTGGGTGGCTCAATCCGTTAAGCGTCTGACTTGGGCTCAGGTCATGATCTTGCAGTTCATGAGTTCTAGCCCCGCATTGGGCTCTCTGCTATCAGCACAGAGCCTGCTTCGGATCCTCTGTCTCCCTCTCTCTCTGCCCTTCCCTCCCCTCTCAAAAATAAACAAACATTAAAAAAAAATTGTCTTGGGGCCCAAAGGGCCCCTGGTGACATTTGCCGTTACAAATGAAACACCCTGTAAAAAGTTGCCAACAAATCCTTAAATAGCCCATTCCGGATCTAGTTGCAGCAGCTTTAATATTCCTCATAGGTGTTTTCTCCCTCACGAGTTTCTCCCTTTGCCTTCCACAAGCAATTTTGTAGATTGGCTTTGTTTCTAGTGTATTAGTGTATTCTAGAGTGATGGTGGCTCTGAATGGTATTACTCTGTAAGGTATTAATGAGAAATCACTTTCAAAACACACTCTGACCCAAAAGCTTTCCAACTCATTTATTTTGCCTATAGAAATACTGCCCCAGGGTTACATAAGCTGCTTGTATCTGTAGAAGATGGGGTCTAGGGTCAGGCTCTACGGGGCCTAGCAAAAACTGGGCAGAGGGGGAAAATATGTCTTTCTCCTGAAGTGTGGTTCCTCAGATGAAGGGGGGTAGACACATTATATTGCCTCTGAGTGCCATTTCCTCATTATGTTATGCTGCCACTAACCTCTCTGTCCAATTGTTAGCCTTTTAAACTACAGCCCTACTGACAGTCTTAATCAGTCTTCTGTCTGTGATAAAGGGTTGTCTCCTTGTGTCTGACTTCTTACTTGTTCAAAAACTCTTTTTTGGGGGAGAGGATGACTCTCTTCAGCCTTACCCTGCCTTAGAGTAGTATGACACAGCCAAGCTCTCAGCAGCATCCTTTGTGTTTTTATTAAAGGAACCTGGTAACCCTAGAATGGGGCAAACTGAATCCTGAACGTGCTGATGTGCTACTTCCTGCCAGCAAATTCTCTAAATTCAGCTCCAATACTTCATTACCTTTGAAACCAGAGCCTGCACTTGACACACTCCACCTTCCTGTCTCCCTGTGGGAACTGTAGCCCAGGACAGCTGGGCAAAGACTGTGCAGATTTGCTTTGTGAATGTTTTGGAGCCTCTGTGTCCATTGGAACTCTGGGAAGAGTTAGGGTTACTTTTTGGAGACCGTGTGTATTCTTTGTGGTCTTTGGGATATTGTTCCCATTGTCACTCCTTGCTGTTTTTTTTGTTTTTGTTTTTGTTTTTTTTTTAACATAAAGGAGTCTTACCTATTAGATTTGAAGCTACTCTATGGAAATACCGAGTTTTATGATTTTTGTTTTGTTTTGTTTTTCCACAGTGTCTACTCATTAGGCTGCTTTGCTGTTTTCATGGATAACAATTTAAACATCTCTGATTTTGTGTGAGGAGAAATACAAGTTAATGAAACAGTACTTATAAGTCAGCTTTATCCAAAGCAGTACCTGTGGCTTTTAACAACCACTAAAAGTAAATAATAAGGGGTACCTGGGTGGCTCAGTCTATTGAGCATCCGACTTGGGCTCAGGTCATGATCTCACGGTTCATGGGTTTGAGCCCTGCGTCGGGCTCTGTGCTGACAGTGCAGAACCTGCTTCATATTCTCTGTCTCCCTCTCTCTCTCAAAAATAAATAAACATTTTTTTAAAAAAGAAAGATAAATAAATAATACTAATAATTCATACCAACTCTAGAAGGCTAATATTAGGAACAAGGACTGCTGTTTAAAACAGTTCTAGTTTGAGAAACATGTACCTGTAGGTAAGTACCTCCTCTCTCCCCTTTGGGTCCAGAGCTAGTCGGGAGTTACTGAGGCCAGATAGGTGAGGGTTCTGTTGTCAGTGGTTTATTAACACTGGGCTTTCATTCCACGCTTTTCCTACAGCCCTAAAATGCTCGGCTTCCTCCGTTATTTGGGGGAGTTATTGATATCTTTCTTTACATCTTTCCATCTTAGTTCTTTCTTTACTATTTTTATAATCTGGATGAGTATCCTGCAGTTTTCTAGGCTTTGAGATTTGAGAAGACGGTTTTTACTCCTTTTTTATAATTAGCTAGAAGTTGGGACACTGTTTGTTGTTATAACATCTAAGATACAGAGGCACCTGGGTGGCTTAGTCAGTTAAGCGTCTGACTCTTGATTTTGGCTTAGGTCATGATCTCACGGCTCATGAGATTGAGCCCTGCATTGGGCTCTGCACTGGCAGATTGGAGCCTGCTTGGGATTCTCTCTTTCTCATTCTCTCTCTCAATAAATAAATAAACATTAAATAACATCTAAGATGACAAAAGCCTTATTTTCACCTTAGTGTCTCTGCTTATATCTTCATCTCTGTCCTCCTACTTCCTTTTTAATCTATCACATTATTTTTCCTCACTCAGTTTCTTTCTTTTTCTTTTCTTCTCTCTACTCTTTCTTCCTTTCTTTTGTCTTCTCTGAGTTATGCCTCAACTTAGGATCCAGGGAAGTGTCAGAAAAAAACCCGAGGATGTGGGTCAAGGTCTCGGTTCTGTCATGTACTGGTATGTGACTTTGGGCAACTCTTTAAACCAATTTAAATCTGAGTTTTCTCATCTTTAAACTGAATGTATACTGATCTTTGTTGTTGAATGGGTCACTGAAAGATAGATGAAATATAGGAAATGAGCGAGTTTGATGTTGGAATCATGTAATCTGATCTCTGACCTTTGAAGCTATGGCCTCTGTCTGTTTCCTCTTTCCTCCACCCCTTTTCCAGCTTTTCCCACTTTTCTTTAGTCTCCTGTTCCTTTCTCTCACCTTCCCTACCTTATACATTTGGTTATTTTCAAACCAGACCTTCTTATCCTCTGATTCATCAGTAGGTTTTAGTATGTTTTATGTCCCTGTGTGTTTCCAAGTGTACAATTTTCTGGCGATAGGGTCTGTAGCTTTTGTCAGATTCTTAAGGGGGTGTCTTCATGACTCCCAAACAGTTATAAACTGGTCATTATGATCTCAATAGGGAAGAATAGATTGATACTGGAAAATGAAATTGGCACTTCAGTTCACAGGTAAGATTAACAACTAAAATGCTTAAGTTTTCTTTAGGGATTACTTACTTTGCTCTACTGATTTATAAAACAATCGGTTCAACTAAATTTATCTAATTAGGAACCTACCAAGTACAAGGCAGTAGGAAACTAATGATCTATGTGGATATTAGGTTATATTTGTTTTTATGAGTTGGAATTTTGAATCTAGCACCTGAGATCAGAAGGCTCTGCCAGCCTGTCTCTATAGGTTTGAGCCTATGGGCCTTGCTCTGGACTTGCCCAGGATGTATGTTGAGGGAGAACCTAGGAAGTAGACTTACCAGAGTGAAACCTTTCACAAACCAGCTTTCCCTTAAGATACCTTGAGCTTAATGAAATATCCTTTACATTCAAAGACCCCAGTCTGTAAAGTACCTTTTGTGCTATTGATGAAAATCAGCAGTCCTTTGAGCATTCACTGGGGAGTATCTGTGGAT